ATTGGACCATTGGGCTAATAGCAAATTTCCCTGGAATAGAGCAATTGCAGTGAGATTTCTCAAACTCTAGAAGAAGCTATTGCCACCCTGACTGATTTTCTGAAAGGTTTGGTGAAGCACGCTTGACACCATCGCACCAATACCTACACACCGTGTTCGGAATACCTCGGAGGTTGTTTACGGCAATTTTTACTAGCTTGGCCCAATGTGCCCCAGGGTCAGGGAATGTTGGTCCACGAGTAGGCCTTTGCGGGTTCCGGTTCCACACTACCTCCTGCGTGCTTGCCAAGTACGTACACAGGACCTCCTGCATACATGTAGGTAATAGGTGTGCAGGAGGTGCCTGCATTCAAGCATACACACTTGGGTTTCCAAAGAAATCAAAACATTAAAGTCCGGTCACATTTTTGTGCCTCAAATTTTCTGTACTGTCTCAAAAACACCTACCGTTTTCCATTTTCAAATGTCAATTTTTGAGCTACAATTTTCATATTTTTAAACTTAATCTGTATTCTATTGGTACAAAACGACCCCAAAACTACGAGATCGCTAGCTGAATTTGTTCGAGTTATCTTATACAAACAAACAGAACGAAACATTTAGGGTTAGTCACCATAGCCACCAGGTATTGAGGGTTTACGTTTACTTTTTATATCAGGGTGTGAGTGTGTGTGTCGATGAGTAAGAAATGACCTTCGCAACAATTTGGCGAGACGAATGCTGCAGAGCGGATGAGTCGGCGAGGGCGCCACGTCACACATCATACACGTTCTGGTCCATCGCCGGTGATCCCTGGAGCGGCACACGACCGGTGTGCGTTGTTGCTAGAGCCCGGTGGTGTGTAAATTTTGGTGATAGAGAGCGTTTTCTTTGAAAAAGATCAAATTTTACTGTTATTCACAACTATTTGAATTGCAAAACTTTTCATTTATATCAGAAAACAAGTTTTCCTTTGTTTACTAGTAAAATATCATCTAATTTCGAATAAAATACCTTGCGTCAATACGTCTCATATTCCAAGAAATAAGTAATAACATACGGTATATAGCGGGCCGTTTGCAAGGAAACCGTGTAGTATTACAAGGGAAATTTGTTTGTAGGAGTTTCAGAGTTTAATTTGTTGCTAGCAAAATCACCTCATTACATACCTCGTCACATATTTCCGCATATTTCACACATGCGTTTACCCTCGCGTTTACCAGACACCTTACTTTTAGTAGGTGAAGCTTTCCTAAAAACCTTCCGCATTTGCCAGCGCTCGCGATCAATAGGAATGACAGAGGAAGCCGTGACTGTCACGTAGCTCGTGCACTGTTTCTCTCCGTGCACGCTTCCATGTGAACGGCCCGTAATGGAGGGCGGAGGTGCGGTGCGGTTAGAGGTCCCCGACACACCGCCGCCGCTGAGGCTGCCGCTAAGGCTGCCGCCGCCCCACACAGCATCGCGCCACTTTACACTTGTGAGACGTGTCATTATTTCAACGAGCAACAACAACTCCACACACTCGACGATGATGGGAATGTGCCAACAAAAAGTAAAGAGGATTAGGATAAGCGGCGTTCCATCTTTCTGCTTCATTTGCTCTTCTTCTTCTTCACGATACTCACGCAAATCAGCTAACATGAGTCAGGATACGAATTCAGTTCAACGCTCACATTTCGGCATGTTTTCTTTTACAATCTCTGTAACACCAGTTTTTCTTCAACGCCCCACCTCAGGCTCTATCCGGCCTCCTCTGTCTCTCTCTACCCTCGCGTGGCGCCTCGCGTGGCGCGTCGCGTGCCGATGGCGCATGCCAGTGGCCTGCGGAGCCTGCGGTCCACGTGTTCAGCCGCTCCGCCCCGCCCGCGACCCGCCGCCACGGGCCGGCTTGTGGTGTGACCCCGGCCCGGGACGGGACATCGGTGTGTGAGTGTGTGTGTGTAAAGGCGCAAAAGCAAAACAAACAAAAAAAAAGACTTGAAAAACTGAATACAGGTTTGTCAGGTAATACAGTGCATAACAAACAGTTAAAATTATGTGAGCCAAAAGGCATGTTACCCATTATTACGCCCAATTACCCGGGAGAGGGTGTCCAGAAGGAAGTCGACCTAAAGTTGCCTCGGTCTTTGGTAGTAGGGGATTTACAGTGTAGTGTCGGTTCATTTTAAGTTTTCTCGCGCGATATCCGACTTCATACACGAAAAAGTTTTGTCTGGTCGTGCCTTCTAGCCGAGATGCGACAGCAGCGGGGCTTTTGCTTTTTGGGGTCATGCACAGGCACACCGTGTGGGCCGGCGTCCAATAAGGCGAGAGGCGAGGTGAGGTGAGGAGGCCCTTTTCCTTTTCGGAGGGAAGGCGGAATTAGACGGAGCGCCTTCTCGGCTCCCACATTTCCATTAGGCTAAAGACGCCCCGCCCCGCCCGCCCCACCCGGGCCCGGCATACACCGTGTACCGCACCGCACCGCTGTGTGCACGACGGGAACCTTAATACACCGACAGTCACACATTGCATTACGGCACAAACGACTTAAACGTGACTTGATCCCCCGGCGGCCCCGGCAGGCAGCAGCCGCTCCATCCGAGTGAATGGCCTCCTCCTCCTCCTCTCTCCCTATGCTGAACCGTACGCCGGCGCGGCGTGGCGTGTGCGCGGCGGCGCCTCATCCTCAGCAAGGGCGCGACATTTAACCCTTTTACGATTCACAAAACTACAACGAATACGCATGTTTCAAGTTTCACGCCCCTCGCTGCCGCGAGGAGCATTTTGAGGAACTTCCGCGAGTATATACTTGAGCCACTCACGCCCAGACTCGAAGTGTGAAAGTTTGTGCATGAGAGTGTGTAAGTGAGTAAGCGTGTGAGTGTGTGTGTGTGTGTACGTGTGTGTCAGTGTGAGGGGCCGTGCGCGCGGCTCACGGTAGCTTTTGATTTGCGGCCAGGCGAGCATTTATAACATAGAGGATACGGCTGCGGTCTGAGCCTGGCGGCGAGCCTGGCGGGGCCCCTATAGGGCGGGATGTGTCTGCGGTGCGCGAGGGATATATACGTGCGTGCGGCACCGACGGAATATGCGGTAATTTACTTATATACCTTCCCGTTGTCGATTTGTCGTGATGTGGGGGGGCTGGCTACCGCCGCGCGGCCGCTAGGCTGAGGCACCTCCACGCCCTCCCTCCGTGCGCAAGGGCTCGCACCGCGGGGGTCCAGCCTGCTCTTTTTGGAGGCCCCCACCCCACCACCACTTCGGCCTCTTCCCCTGGTCCATTCCATTCTTTTCAGAAAAGTGGTGCATCATACGTCGCGCGCCGTCAAAAGCCTCCAGCCACACACACACATTCACCCGAAAAAAATAAAGAAAATGAAAATCATGAAAAAGGTTTGTGGCGCGCAGTGGGGCCGACGACGGGGAAGGGGGCGGGAGGGGATGGGGAGCCGGAGTGCTTCCGCCTAGAGTTACGCCCGGACTGAAATAGAGGAGGGAGGGGGAAGAGGGGGGGGGGACACCGCGACCAGTTTATCGACACTGGGAATCCGCCACCTCAAACGCGCGTCCGGCAAAGTCGGCGCGAAGAGACGGAATCGGTTCCGCTCAATAGGGCCTGCCTGCCTCCATGGCGACGGAAGCGGCTAACAGCGGAGAGGAGGGCGGATATAGGAGAGCCGGGAGGGGGGGGGGAGGGCAGTTGCACAATGAAGCAAAAGGTAAGAAATAAAAAAAGAACGCATTCAGTGAGTGCGGGGATACATGCACTTCGCACGCATACCGCCGCCCAGCACTGGTCCCCCAACAAGCCCCCGGGAGGTAGGCACCCAGTTGGACGGCCCCGTGCCCGAGTGGCCTACCCGTGCAGTGCAGACGGGGGCTCGAAGCGAGCTCGCCGCTGCAGCTAACCTACACACTTCTCTCCCGCCTTCCCTCTCCCTCCCTCTCCACACGCGTCACACACATATGTTACTGGTACCGCCGAATAAGTGTCTTTGGAGGCGTGCGTTATTGCCACCACGGCGCAAGGTGTGTGTGTGTGTAGGAGAGGGGGGTGGGGGGGGGCGGTGCAACCTTGGCCGTCCCCACAGAGTGGCGCGGCGTAGCGCGGCGGCCCCCTCAGCAGCGGCGCCCCCCGCGGGGCCCACGGGGCGCCCCCCGGCCCCACCGGGCGCCCCTGGGGACCCCGGCGCGGCGCGCTCCCGGGGGCAGTCGTTACGCTTTCTGGCGCGCCGACCATTTGACTTCCATTCCAATTAATGCAGCCGCGAGAGAAGACAATTGAAAATTGCCGTTGCCGCCGTGGGGGCACTACACCGTGGGCGCCGCTGCACTCCGGGAGCGGAGCGCTGCCCCCCCCCCCC